CTTAGGCCAAAAGGGGGCTCTACTAATAGACATTTATCTGTTTACAGAATTGTTGGGAGGGATGGAGAAATAATGCACTGGGGGCTTTCAGGAATCATTCCCAAAGACACTATGGAACTGAACCACCAAAAGCCTGCTGCTACTGCAAACTGACAACTTGGGAAGCTGATGCTGATGCCACAGCCCCCAGAGCCGTACTGCCACTGTGTCATCAGGAAGTCACTGCAGTTACAAAACGCCATGTCTAGGAAGACATGACAAATAAGAAGTCTCCATGAGCAGGAAGCCTCGTTATAGCTCCTGGCTCCAGAAACACACCATACCTGTCATGATAGGTATCAGAACACTGATATTCATGCTTTGACTATCACCACCATGAAACCAGTGATCAGATGTGGGGACTTCTGATAATGTTGCCACAGAAAAATGAGATGTCTACTGACCATGCTTCCCTTTAGGAAAAAAAAAAAAAAAGCCAAACTTAGAATAAATTCTGATTTCATTCTTCCTTGCTAATATGGAATGCATCCCAGCTCTAGCTGCAGAAAAATCTGGGTAGGTAGTTTTCAGCTTTTCAGCCTCTGCAGTAAAGAATGGCACACTGGAAGGGGCTGGAAATGGATATTGAGCACCAATCTACCTTATCCCATAAAACAGCGGTAGTGGAACTTAAATGAAGCCAAAAGGAAGAAAAATGTATTACTAACCTTTCTGTATATTGAGCTTGACGTGGTTAAAACCAAATTCATTATTGTTCTTAACCCCCCCCCACCGACTATCATCGTATCTGAAGATTTGAGTTGTTGTTGTTGTTGTTGTTTAAAGATTTTTTATTTATTTATTTGACAGGCAGAGATCACAAGTAGGCAGAGAGGCAGGCAGAGAGAGGTTGGGGGGAAGCAGGCTCTCCACGCAGCAGATAGCCCAACGCAGGGCTTGATCCCAGGACCCTGGGATCATGACCTGAGCCAAAGGCAGCGGCTTTAACACACTGAGCCACCCAGGCACCCTGAGATTTGAGTTTTTATTCAAAGCTACCATTGTGTTAATGACTCAAGTCATTTAGAAACCAGTGTGTGTCCTATATCTATGTGACATCTAAGAAATGCTTCCCAGTAATATGAATTACACCCTACACTACAAAAATAGAACATATAACTAGAAAAACTCCTATATCTTAGATATAAGATATATATCTTAGATGCAACACTTTGTGCTAAAAATTGTGTTAGCAAATTAAACCACTCTGACAGAGCTACTAATATCACTTCTACAACAGTGATTCCTACCCCCCCGTTTTTTTCCAGTTCCAAAAGACCGAGTAGAAATATTTTCTTGAATAATAATGACCCACCATGGCACAAAGTATTCCACATAGTTGTTAAAATTAAAGCTGTATTCTTCAGTTATTGATTGTAAACACAAATGTATTCAATTCAAACATCTCCAAAATTTACTGCAATGAATTGTGATGAAAATGGCAAAAGGCATCAATAAACATTAAGTAAAACAAAAGTCAAAAATCTGGAGGTACAGAGGACGTTTTGGGGGCTCCTATAAAGACTTACTGATTGAATCATTTTTAATAAGTGCATGATAAAGTACTTTAGAGAACCTTAACTGTTGTAAAAATGTGCATTCATTTGAATTGCATTATAACATAAATGTCTCAAAAGAGCACTGAGATTTTGGTGTTATATGAGTTAATCTTATACTCCATTCAAACTTGCTGCATTGTATTAGCTACCTATCTGATGTATAACGAACTCTTGTGGCACAGTTACTGATGATGGCTATAATAATTGCACTTAGTGAGGGTGTAGTATTTTGATGGTACCATGATCTACATGGCAACAAAAGAATCCTATGTCAACCAGTGTTCACACATATCCGAAAAAAAGAAGCTTCTGCACAGCAGAGGCTAAAAACTCCCAAATTAGAATTAGATTTTCTAGCTAGAAGTTATTCATTTAACAAATGGTTACTGCAACCTATTTCTTTTTTTTTTTAAAGACTTTATTTATTTATTTGACAGACAGAGATCACAAGTAGGCAGAGAGGCAGGCAGAGAGAGAGGAAGGGAAGCAGGCTCCCTGCTGAGCAGAGAACCCAATGTAGGGCTCGATCCCAGCACCCTGGAATCATGACCTGAGCTGAAGGCAGAGGCTTTAACCCACTGAGCCATCCAGATGTCCCACTGCAACCTATTCATTATCAACTTCAATTTCAACACAATCCCTGTATTTGAAAAACTCAGTTTCCTGTTGATACAGAATATATACCAATAACTAAAATACAACAGAACAAATATTATAATAAAAAAATCTGTAAGGTGCTATGGAATGCAGGATGAGAGCAATAAACTTTCTCCCTGGAGATGGGGAAGGCTTCAGGAAATTAGGGAATCTTAGCAGACAAGGATATATTCAATGGAAATCTTGAAGGATGGGTAGGAAGTGTCATTTTTAACAAGAAGAAGAGCGTGCAAACAAGATATATAGTGATTGGAAAGTTATGATGAGATGGGAGATACCATGAAATATTGAGAGAATTGGGAGTAACTGAAGTTCCTAGAGCACATTGTTTGGTGTTCCATAAAGTGTTGAACGACAAAAATGAAAGAATGACTCTCAAAAGCAGTGAGAATCCATCAAAGTGTTTTAAGCAGGGGAGTGACTTGATTAGACTGCATTTTAAATGAAGCAGAGAAGAAAAGTGTGAAAAGTAGACGACTGAGAAACGTATTGCAGTTCTGGAGACAAGAAGAGGAGCTGTGAGCCCAGGTAAGTTAGATGGTTTGGTCCAGGGCTCAGAGATGGTTAATAGTAAAATTAACTTTTCTCTCTCTCTCTACACCCAAATACTTTTTCTACTATGATTCCTTACCTACAAATCCATTATTCACCACCTAGAATTTGAGGTATCTCTAAGAGCATTTCCATTGTAATGATGTGGTTGTACTATGATGTTGGAAACGATGGACAGGTCTAACTGGCTAATCATGGTTCAGCAGGATTTTTGCCAGCTTGGAGTTGTTTTTATCAGGAGACATAATTTGAACATTGGTATATCAATAATTAATGTAACTTGCAAATCACAAGCCAAAGCAACTTAAGCGGATAAGCTCATTTTTCTTTAATTTTGTTTATTTTTTAAAGGTAAGAGAGACATAATTAACTAGATGATTATTTCTCAGAAATATTGCTATGTTTGCATTTCTCAGAGGCATTCTTTTCTCCCATGAAATACTCTGGCCTTAACGCCAGTGACTGCTTTTCTCATATTCCAACTACTGCTAGCTCACAGCATCCTGCCTCCCTCCCCTTTCTCTTTCCATTCTCAGTTCTCATCCCTCCTATCCTTTCCTCCCTATTACACCAACTCCCAGCTCCCAAAAGGTGGATTAGGTCATTTATCAAAATCAGGAGGTTTTCTTTGTCAATCAATTCATTTCCCTATTACATTGAGACTAAAAAATAGCATGGCTTTGTCTCAAAAAAAAAAAAAAAAGCTGGACTCATATTTTATCATTAGAAGGTTTGAGTAATAATAGGAAGCAGGTCTTGACTTAATATAAAAGCAAAGGAGTAATTTTAAATCTTCAACTCCCAATTTCTGTTTCAAAGTATTTTCATTTTGATGATGCATTTAACACTCTCCTCTAGTTTACAAATAATTGGTCTGTATTATTATACCTCACTTTGTAGACAATTTGGCTGCACACATCTATAGATGCCTACCCGATGGATATCCATACTGGTGGGGGGAAACCATGTGATGTCTCCACTAGGAAAGGAAGAAGAGACTGGAGATTCCTGCCTTATTTTGAGTTCCAGAAATCAGCTGGTCTAACTGGAGGGAATGCTCAGGCCTGATCTATACTAAATCTAGAGTAAATCTGAAATACAGAAGGTGAAATAAGAAATGGTGGAACTTCTCAGGATCCTTGCAAAACATACCAGGTTCCACCACTGTTCCTTCTCCCATCATTTCTTGCACAGTGCTGAGCCAAATCCGGTCTCTCACAGACCCTTTCTCACATGCAACGACTGAATGAATTTTGGACCCAGGGTGGCTCTCTAAATCACACTAGATAATTGTACAGACCCCATCTACGCATCATAGCATCAGTGACCCACAACTCAGAAAGCATAAAAGAACAAACTAAAAGTGTGAAATATTATAGTTTTCTCTGCCAAACACATTTCGCCAAGTATCAACTGGTAACCCACAAACTCAAAATTCTTACTGACAAAATATAAAAAATCCCATGTTCTCATACCTGTGGTTTGTATTTAGAGGACCATCAAAATGGGCATAGGATAAGGAACTCCATTAAAAAAAAAAAAAAGTAAGCAAGCTCAGCCCTAAAAGATTAACAACACAAATAGTAGTAATAAAATTATCCTGTTAAGTGATTTTTATTTTTTATTTTTTATTTTTTTAAAGATTTTATTTTATTTATTTGTCAGAGAGAGAGAGAGAGCGCGTGAGAGTGAGCACAGGCAGATAGAGTGGCAGGCAGAGGCAGAGAGAGAAGCAGGCTCCCCGCCGAGCAAGGAGCCCGATGTGGGACTCGATCCCAGGACTCTGGGATCATGACCCGAGCCAAAAGCAGCCGCTTAACCAACTGAGCCACCCAGGCGTCCCTATCCTGTTAAGTGATTTTTAATCAAGTGGAGTTAACTCAAGTCTTGTCTTCTAGGGATGAAAATGGAAAGCAATAAACAAAAAGGGTAGAAGAAAACAGTGTGACCTTGATGACTCCTCCAAAGTCCATCATGACCGCATTGGTTCTTTTCATCCCCTGGTGACGTTAATCTTCTGTTTGTTTTGCTACTGTAATCCTATTCTAAGTTTACCAGAAGTTGCCCTTTCAAAGTTGGTCTATGCCTGTTCTTTCTCACCTTATGAAAAGTAAAGGAAAAAAAAGAAGTGTGTGTGTGTGTGTGTGTGTGTGTACTGTTGGTGGTTAAATACCGAGTTGGGACTTCCTCTTTGAACAGTTGCTTTTTCCTCTCACACAGGAGATCTCATTTTGAGACTGGATATAGTTGAAATCAAACGACATACTGAGAGGGTATGATGGCTAAGAACCCCCCGAAACCAGCCCCTCGCAGGATCTTCCAAGAAAGGTTAAAGATTACTGCTCTACCTTTGTATTTTGAAGGGTTTTTGTTAGTCAAGAGGTCAGAATACCAGGTAAGTCCATAGATGATAACGTTAAACTAGTAGTTTCTGTCTTAATTCAAAAGTTATTTCATGGTGATTTGATATGATGTGACAAGGTCCTCCTTGTTTCTGTTGCGATTAAACCTTCTTCCTTGAGCTCAGAAATGTGATGCCAATTTTGTGTAATTTAAAGACAATGTATGGCTTAAACACATACATGTATATATATTTGTGTTATATGTAATATAACGTTCTACTGTTGTTACTATGTAAAAAAATTTAATAAAAGCCACATTTCCAAAGAATTTATTTAAATATTACAGATTTCAGCTTAGAAGTTAAAATGTTTCCTGTATTTTTTCTGCAATTTTCTAGTATGCTTCCACAATGATGTGTACCATTAAGATAACATATTACAACTGAAGCTAAGCTGTGTGCTTCTACTCTCAGTTATTTGAAGTTTACAAGTAATGATAAAATTATTTTTAATAGTTAACTTTTGTAAAAAAATTATGAAAATGATTAAACTGATACTGTTAGCATTATGCATAGTTCTATATTCTAAAAACATTAACATAGTTACTTGAAAAGCTAATATGTAGGTACAGTATGGGTAATATGTAAACTAAGCAACATAAATACATTTACTCTAAGAAAATGCAGAAAGCGTTTCATATTTTTAAAATGTAAAAATGAAAACTTATAATTAGTTAAAATCAGTTTTTATTATACTAATTATGGAGATTTGAAATTAATGAAAGAAATAAATGTGAAAGTGCTTGTTACTAACAAAAAATGAAATAATTAAGTTAGGTCAAATTTTATGAAATTGTAATAGCAACAAAGTAGAAAAAAAGTAAGTGTTTCAAGGAATGTCATAAGAGATGTTAATAATGGTATTAAGATATATTTTCTGAAGATTTATTAACAGAAAAATTGTGTGTGTGAAAATATCTATAATAGCACATTCGGGATTTTTTGCAAAGACATGGTAGTTTACATTCTGTTATGGGTGTTAAACATGTATTAGTAAATTTGGCAGCTACGCTAGAATATTTTTCCCTTCTTTATGCTTTCAAAGTGAATTCTATCTTGTTACAACAGGTTAGCCACATTGTTGCACTTTGCCAGGAAACTGGAATTGGGAAAGCAAAACTTCTAATTTGTAATTTAAATTTGGTTATTCATTAAATATCTATCAAAGTATTCATAATAACTGTTCTGAAGGGTTTTAAAAAGTATTTAAAGAAGGCATTCCACTGGTATGGTTAATAGAAAAAGGATTTTAGAGCCAGTAAAATATGTCTTTACCTAATGGTTTTGCCACTTAAACAGCTTGTGATCTTGTACAAGTTACTCTATCTCCTTGAAATTCAATTTTCTCAAACTATAAAATGGGAAAAATACAACTTACTACACAAGGTACTATGTCTGGGATACAACAGGTGCTCAATTAATTTATTCATTCAGGCAACATTTATTGTATGTCTCCTATACACCAAGCATCATACTGATTTCTAGAGAATATAAACAAAAGACCCTACCTTCAAGAGGCTTAGTTCATGGTAAGGAGGGATGACTCCCTTACCTGATTGCTACTCTACCTGTTCTTAGCATGCTTTGAAATGAAAAGACTAAAGTATAACTATAAATATTTCTGATAAAGTTAGGTTGTGTTTCCACTTGAATTCATAGCAACGTATCTTTTACTTGTATGTCAAGGAGAAGAGACCAAGAGGACAACAATAATGTCGACTTATAGGGTGGTTTCAAGGATTAAAGAGATATATAAAATACCTGGTTTACACTAAAGATTAGATTCATTCTCCTTCCATTTCATTATTTGTCAAATTTTTCTTAACATACTAAAATCAGTTTTAAGTCCATAAGTACAGTTGACCCTTAAACAGCATGGGTTTGAACCGCACAGGTCCAATCCACTTACACTTAGATTTTTTTTTTTTAAAGATTTTATTTATTTATTTGACAGAAATCACAAGTAGGCAGAGAGAAGGAGAAGCAGGCTCCCTGCTGAGCAGAGAGCCCGATGTGGGGCTCGATCCCAGGACCCTGAGATCATGACCCGAGCCAAAGGCAGAGGATTAAACTTCTTAGCCACCCAGGCACCCCAGATTTTTTTTTTACAGTGTAGTATATGTATTTTTTCTTCCTGATGATTTTCTCCATAACATTTTCTTTTCTTAAATTTTTTTTAAGATTCTATTTATTTATTTGACAGACAGAGATCACAAGTAGGCAGAGAGGCAGGCAGAGAGAGAGAGGAGGAAGCAGGCTCCCTGCTGAGCAGAGAGCCCCATGTGGGACTCGATCCCAGGATGCTGAGATCATGACCTGAGTCAAAGGCAGAGGTTTAACCCACTGAGCCACCCAGGCACCCAACATTTTCTTTTCTCTAGCTTACTTTATTATAAGGACAAAGTATATAATACATATAACATATAAAGTATGTGTTAAACGACTATTTATGTTACTGGCAAGGCCTCCGGCCAACAGTGGGCATTTGAAGTTAAATTTTTCTGGAGTCCCAAGTGATACACAATTTTCAACTGTGCAGGAGGGTCAGCATCCCTAATCTTCATTGAGTTGTTCAAGGATCAACTGTTAATATGGCTCAAAGGAGAGCCACAGGGCTAGAGTACTAGAAAACAAAAGCTGGGAGAAAAAGCTAAGGAAAATAGTGGGATTTCCAGGCAAGCAGAAGTAAAGTGCCAGGGGAACCTTTGAAAGTGAGGGTGAGTCAGGGGTAATAAAAGGTTATCTTCAAAGAAAATGGGCTCGAAGAAGTTGGGAAGCTCTGCAGAACATTCAGCTGGGGTCTTTGCTGAAGGAATTCAAGACTTTTAACTAGAGAAAACATAACCGAGGAGTAACCTAGTCTTTAAGGAGATCACACATTTAGAGGTGTTTCTTAGCTGTTTGGTGACAGGGGCACTTTTAAGAATTTAAGGAACTTTGCCCCTAGGAAAAGGTACCAACAAATACCATTTTAAATGCAGTTTCAGAAAGTCCATGGATTCTAGGTCAAGAACCCATTAAAAATAGATAATCTTCATGGAAAAGAGAATGTGGGAAGACTTACTTAAGCTACCCTAGAATTTTGGATTGATCAGGAAGATTTATTTGATAATAAGAGGTATTAAGTGCCATGGCAGGACTCCAACGTAAACACAGTTCTAGCAAATGGGGAAAGTTCTCATTTTTCTGGAACTGCTTGAAAATAAGAGAAAGCTTGGGCAATATCTCATCGTTTATTCATTCTGTGATATGCTAAAATTAAAAACAGTGTGGGGGCGCCTGGGTGGCTCAGTGGGTTAAAGCCTCTGCCTTCGGCTCAGGTCATGATCCCAGCATCCTAGGATCGAGCCCCGCATCAGGCTCTCTGCTCAGCAGGGAGCCTGCTTCCCCTCCTCTCTCTGGCTGCCTCTCTGCCTACCTGTGATCTCTGTCTGTCAAATAAATAAATAAAATCTTTAAAAAAAAAAGTGTGTATACTATATCTTATCAGCCTGAATATAAGAATGTGTTCAATGTATTTCATTCAAAATTGTGTTCTTCAAAATTAATTTTTAAAATATTTACATATGTCTCTATGATATGTATAGATATATACCGAGGTATTAATTATTGAGATTGATATTTATAGATGACTCAGAGCTTATCAGAAACGAAATAAGAGCTTATCAGAAACTAAATCAGGACTAGGATCTCTGCATTCTGAATACAAGTTTGATCTGTTCTTAGGTTTGTGGCTGTGGTTGGAGTTCACAGGACCTACAGCTGTTTGTAATCTTTCTTTTCCTCCAGGCTGCCTTGACTATCAACTTAGTGCCTTTGTTCTTGCTTCTTCCTGTACTTAATAAACCCTCTTTAATCCTTTCCATGAATCTGTATGTTTGTTTACCAGTAAAACTCTTTTTTTTTTTTAAGATTTTATTTAGAGCTGGGAAATGAGCAGAGGGGGAGAGAGAGGGACAAGCAGACTCTGTACTAAGCACGGAGTCCTACATAGGGCTCCATCCCAAAACCCTGAGATCACGATCTGAGCCGAAACCAAAAGTTAGACACTTAACCAACTGAGCCACCCAGGCACCTCCATCAGTAAAATTCTTATTTTTCCCTGATTATATCTACTCAGTTCATATCATTCTCTCATGACTGAACACCTCTGTAATTTTTCTTAGAAGCACAGATGGATGTCTGTCTGTACATACAGAAAAAACTCAATAAACTTTGGCTGTTAGTGATTTTAGTTTTTCTATCTATAGCAGGTTAATACTCATGAGGCTAATTAAGAAGATGAACAGAGTGGTAGACTTTGACTTGAGGGGTTTCGATTGCTTTTCTTTTCCTCCAAGAATCATAGAATCTCCAGTTTGTATCTGATCTTAGATGTCATACTCCAGTAAAACTATACAACCTGTTGTTAAGTTCTCCAACTAAAATGCCTGCATTCTGATCCCTTCCCAGTCTCCATCACCCACATCCTAGTCCCAAAATACAGTGTAGCTTTGACCTGCTGCTCGTGTTGCAGAGGCTTACCACTAGAGCAGAATATGAATGCCTTGAAAGAAGATACAATTTAAAAAAAGAAGCTCCTGTCCTCAAATTTGAATTGTTTTATTACTAATCAAAAGTCAAACCTGAGAAAATTCAAGTATTTTTCAACACAGTGACTAGATGCTCTCATGGTTTTTACAGAACATCTGCCTGATCATAGAGGTATTAGCATATTAGATATTAGCATAGATATTAGATATTAGCAACTTCTCAAGCCAAACATTTTTTTTTAAAGATTTTTTTTATTTATTTATTTGACAGAGAGATCACAAGTAGGCAGAGAGGCAGTCAGAGAGAGAGAGGAGGAAGCAGGCTCCCCGCGGAGCAGAGAGCCCGATGCGGGCCTCGATCCCAGGACCCTGGGACCATGACCCGAGCCGAAGGCAGAGGCTTTAACCCACTGAGCCACCTAGGCGCCCCCAAACATTTTTTTTTTAAGATTTTTATTTATTTATTTGACAGAGAGAGATCACAAGTAGGCAGAGACGCAGGCAGAGAGAGGGGGGGGGGGGAAGCAGACTCCCTGCTGAGCAGAGAGCCCGATGCAGGGCTTGATCCCAGGACCCTGGGACCATGACCTGAGCTGAAGGCAGAGGCCTCAACCCACTGAGCCACCCAGGCGCCCCTCCTATGCCCCTTTGAATGGGTCTTTGTTAATTTGTTCTTGGCCCAGGAGGCATTACATTATAGCCAGCTGTCAATTAGGAGGTAGGAGGGAGTGGAAAGACCACAGGTCCTGAACAAAGAAACTTGTGCCATGTTCCAGCTCTGCCCCTGAGGTAGATTGCTATAGTAATACGACCAATTTTTTCAAGCCTCACTGTATGCCTTTCCATTTGAAATGTGACTTTTCTGCTCTTCCATAAAGAGATTGCATTTATTTTTCTACCTACCCCTTGAAATCTGGACTGGGTCACACTTTGGTAAATGTGACAAAAGCAGATTAGAGAGTACTCACCCACTGGGGCTTGCCCTCTCTTGTTCCTGGGAATCCTTCTGCCAGTATGTGAACAAGTCTAGATTACCTGACTGGAGACAAGACCCTATGGAGTGAGACTCCAGTTTTCTCAGTGGGGGGGTTTTCCAACACCAACAACCACTTCTCTGTTTCTCTGGACACCAAATGGGTGTGAGACAATTCAGCTTAATTCTGACACTACCTATCCAGACTTAGTGCAGACCCCATAGCTTCTTTAAGGGCTCAGTCCTACAAGGCTGCCCTCCACTTCCATCACCAATTATAAGCTCCAGGCCTCCCATAATTCTCACCAACTCATTGTAAATAAAGAGTGCTTGGGCGCCTGGGTGACTCAGTTGGTTAAATGTCTGACTCTTGATTTTGGCTCAGGTCATCATATCAGGGTTGTGAGATTGACCCCTGCATCAGGCTCCATGGTCAGTGGGAAGTCTGCTTGGGATTCTGTCTCTTCCTCTCCCTTAGCCTCTCCCCCAGCTGGCATGCTCTCTCTCTCTCTCTCTCTCTCTCTCTCTCTCAAATAAATAAATAAATAAATCTTAAGGAAGAAAGAAAGTTCCCATGACTCCCTCCTAAGATTTGATAATTTACTAGAATGGCCCATAGCTCTCAGCAAGACACTTTACTTATATTTACTGGTAAGGGATACAAAAGAACAGGCAGTTGAAGAGTCCTGAGGGCAAGGTCTGGAAGCCCACCTTGTTCCTGTCGGTATTAAATTGGGCCTCACTACCCTCTTACTACGTGAACGTTTTCACTAATTAGGAATCTCATCAAATCACATTGTTGAAGAGTTTTTATGAAACTGAAATCTCCCAGCCCACCCACCTTTTTTCCCCAGAGGCTGGTGGGTGAGGCTGAAAGTTCCAACCCATTAATCAGTTGTTCGGAGGCCTGACCTACCCTGAAGCTATCCAGGCATCCCAACCGATGCTATCTCATTTGTATAAATTCAGGTATTCTGTAAAGGGACTCATTATGAATAACAAAAGCGCTCCTGTCGCTCAGGAAGTTCCGAGTTTTAGGATCTCCATGCCGGGAACTGGGGGACAAAGACCAAATATATTTCTTGTATCACTCTCAGCTCCGCATTCCCGGCTAAGACCCCAGGCAAGTGAGTGAGGCTACTCTAGAGCAGCCACAGGGAAGTATACCCAAAGAATCACCACCAGACACCGGTTGATGAGAAATAGAAAACGTTTGCTATTTTAATCCGCTAAATTTTAGGGTGACATTTTACACAGTGAAGGCTAACTAAAATAGCACTTTATCAGGCATGAAGAAAAAGGGGGGGAAAGTTCTACTAAGAACATGAGAAAGATGGTTCTTGTAATTAAAAAATGAATTTAATTTTGAGCTTCCAAGGAACCAAGGTAAATAAAAACAAGATGGGTTATAGAGTTCCCATTATTTGAGAAAAGACATATATAAATTCCGAAGAGGTGACAAACATTTTGCTGGTCAAAAAAAGGATAAACAATATTTCAGTATTAAAGAGACGCAAAATACCATAATATATAGAAATATCTTCACATTTTATAAGCACAAGAAAAAAATTTCGTGTAATTACCCTACATTAATTCTCAGTATAAGTTGAGATAATCCACATGTTATAAAAATTGAGTTTATTAAACCCTAAAGGAAGAAATGGTCATCCTGTTTATGAAGCTGGAATTTTTATTAAAAACATACTTTTGGAAAGAGCTGGGTATGAAGGTTAGTCTTTAGATGTGGAAGGATTTTATTCTCAAGCCCCCCCTTGCCATTCTTTTGTAATACAGCCAGTCTTCATATAAAATGTAAATTCCCCTTATATAAATGCAGTCTCACTTGAGTGAAATGAGACTAAGTCATATAAATTTTTTTAAACTTAAAGAGTTGTATTTTTTTTTAAATTTGTATTTCTATAGAACCCATAATAATGTGAATGTAGAAATAATGAAATGTTCACCACGTGAATGAAATTCGGACTTCAAAGTTTGGATTTGATGATGTTAAATTATTTTTATGATTATGAACTGTTCACATTGCCTTTATTTATATAAACATATAATATTTATTGAACCCAAACGATGAGCCATGTACTCTTAAGTGCTTTAGATTTATCAACCCATTCAATCCTTTCAGCTGCCCTGGAATGTAGATATTTAATGCTTGTCCTATCCTGGTCCCTTAAATGGCCCCTCTTACAGAGACAAACTTCACTGAAACCTACATAAAAAGTCAAGTGTCTTAAATCAATGGGGAACGTTTTGAAAAATGATCTATTTAAACACACATCAAATTACATCCTTACCTCACATCTTATGCTAAAATAAATTTGTGAAGGATTTAATCAAGAGCTAAATGTAATATTAAGCCTAAAATTAGGTGATTTATCTCAAGATAAAGAAGAACCTTATATCAAACAGCAATTAAGAAAGTTACAAAGAATATTAATAAAGTAGTTGAATATACCAATGAAATAATGCTTATAATTTATTTCCCACAGGAATATAAACATTACTGGACAGAGCTGAGAGGAACTACACTTTTCTTTTATTCTGACAAAAAAAGTCCAACAGTGAGTAGCAAAACATATTCAGCTGATTCAGTTTTTCCTAATATGGACTTGGCATATAGTCCTATTTATTTGGGGGTTTCCATCTTCCGAAAGTAAAGATATTCTAGTAAAACCAGTTCAAATAAGAACTTTTATTATGTCTGTGGGGGCTTTCAGGTATAAGACCCATGGTAAAATTTCCAGGGAACCTGGGAAAAAGGTATAAACTCATGTCTTTAACTTTGAATTTTTTTCTTTTTGATTCCAGTAATAGAAACTTAGTTGAAACCTGAAATTTTTATTTTATTTTTTAAAAGATTTTATTTATTTACTTGAGAGAGAGAGAGAAAGCACGAGCACAAGCAGGGGGAGGGGCAGAGAGAGAGAGGGAGAAGCCGACTCCGCAGGGCTCTAATCCCTAGACCCTGAGATCATGACCTGAGCTGAAGGCAGATATTTAACGGACTGAGCCACTGGGGTGCCTTAAAATGTGAATATTTTAACCAGATATCTGAATACAACTTGTTTATGCCAAGGGATAGCCTTAATTTCCCCAGCTTTTTATCTTGCTGTAGCATGCAGTTACGATCTGAAAGGAACCAGATGACCCCCAAAGCCTTATAACATAAAATATGTCACAATTTAATTGTCCTAGGGAGACAAAAACATAAGGACTGCTAAGAGCTTAGGCATGAGAATAACAATAGATTCTGGGATTAATTTATTAGTAGTAATTTTAAGTAATTGATTTATATTTCAACTTTCCCACAAAAATCGAAAACAGTGTATTTCATTTTTCCACAAATAAAATGTAGCATTTTCATGCCAGACGCTTGCCTACCTTGGAATGTTATGCCCATAGAAGATTTTATGATCTAGTCACTTGTTTAAACAGTTTGGACCATGGATGTAGTAGTTCCCAATTCTTAGAGGATCATCATTACCTGTCCTGATGTAACGGAAAGGAACAGAAAAAGAGCCTTGTGATGTATTCCACCTGGAAGCATTTCAGGGCCATTTCAGGGCCATTACATAAACTCAGTAGAAGTCATTTAAAAAAAACAAAACAGGGACGCCTGGGTGGCTCAGTTGGTTGGACAGCTGCCTTCGGCTCGGGTCATGATCCCGGAGTCCCGGGATCGAGTCCAGGATCGGGCTCCCAGCTCCACGGGGAGTCTGCTTCTCTCTCTGACCTTCTCCTCACTCATGCTCTCTCTCACTGTCTCTCTCAAATAAATAAAAAAAAATAAATAAAAATAAAAAAATAAAAAAACAAAACAACACAAAAAAACGAAAAACAAACTTAAAATAATCATCTTTCTCCGGAATTCTGGATAGGCAAGACTTGTGTAAAGGTGTTTCCAAATACCGTAATAAATTAAAGCTGCTAACTGATGTCAGTAAACCTGTGACAACCCCTGCCCTACACCTTGTGTAGCACACGTAGGTGGGCGAGCGAGCCAGCAGTTACTGTTCTCTCACTCCCTGGCAGGAGGCGGTACCACTTAGGGATGGCAGCCTGCTCTTCAGGCTGACTGCCTGGGTGCTTATGATGGCCCTGCTGCCATTAACTGTGGGTTTTCACGCCAGTTACCTAACCTCTCTGTGTCTCAGTCTACCAGACAGGAAAGTGGTAGGAAACAGAAGATGTCTCAAATTGGGCATCTTTTTTTTTTTAAAGATTGTATTTTTAAGTAATCTCTACAGCAAACGTGGGACTTGAATCCTCGAGATGAAGAGTTCATGCTCTACTGACTAAGCCCGGCAGGCGCCCCTCAAACTGGACGTTTTTGAAGGAAGTATAATGATGATGCTATATTCAAAGCTGTGGACAGGATGTAGGAAAACCACAAAGGGTAGAGCAGAACTTTGAGGCTAGTAACAGCACCCTACTCTTATGCCCAAGATGCATTTAAAAAAGTGGGAGAAGAGTGAACAGAGGTGTGCGAAGATGAGTGTGTTGAGAGGAGTATGACCTTTGACTGACGAAGCAATTGTATGGGATCATAAATAGCTCATTCTCCTCAGTCTTCTGATCTGCCAGTGTTAACCAGGGTCCCACCCAACAGGAAGTCAGATGTTGTCCACATCAGTCTCTGTCCTGGTGCATAGCACTGTGTGGTGAGTAGATAAAAGTAAACCTAGAGGACCAAATAAAGGTCTTGTCCAGCACGCGTATTTTCACATCTCTAAAATTAGGATGAAAAGGGTAGTCCGTGTCATGAGGTTATCAAAAGGATTAAACGAGGTAGTGAATGTAAAGACAAGGAAATAGCTAGCACATAGTAAGCATTCAGACGTTTTATAATTTTTTTAGTTTTTTAAAAGTTTACTTATTTGAGAGAGAGAGAGAGAGAATGCACAAGCCAAGGGATGGGCAGAGAAGCAGACTCCCTGCTGAGCGAGAAGCCTGACATGGGACTTGATTCCAGAACCCTGGGATCATGACCTGATCCAAAGACAGACGCTTAACTGAGCCACCCAGGCACCTGCATTCAGACATTTTATATGCGATATCTCATCTAATTCTCATAACAACTCTAGAGTGGGTACTGTTTCAATCACCACTTACAGATGAGAGTAGTCAAGTTTCAGGATTCAGAAGTTGTGCAAGATCGGAGAATGAAAGGGGTAAAATCCAGATCTTGCTCCTGAGCCTGAATTCTTAACCATTATGCCATGAAGAGGCTGTTACAGTGAAATAACGCAGAACTGTCCGTCTACCAATTTTGTTAAAAGAGGGTGCAGGCTTTAGGAACTGTGTTGGGTGATAGTCTCAGGAGAAAGCACAGAGAACTGTGCTTTCTCCTGAGAGGAGAACTGTAGATATTAAACGGTTAGTGGGGAAGAATTTAAAGCTGCTTTTTTTTGAAAGGCTATCGGGAGGTCATGTGAAAGAACCCATGAATTTGTTTCATGTTATTATAGAGAAAGGGGACTGGGACCGATGGACGGAAATTCTCCAGAGAAAAAACTGTGGCTTAAAACAAGGAAAAACTTGCTAGAGTGGCATAGGAGGCATGAATTTCCTCTTGTATGAGATATTGTTTGAGGATGGCTACATGGAGGGATGCCCTGAAGGAGAGTCAGACATCAGATGGCAGGTTAGACAGATGACCTTTAAGGCTCTTTTCAACACTACAATTCAAAAAAAAGGATAGAACTTCCTTTCTTCTAATCAATAGATCAGTTTACAGCTCTCTAATTTGCCCACTTCTTCCTCTGTTGCTTCCTCCTTTGTCTCAGCAAAATTCACTTAGCTTGATGTAGACAAATTGTGTAATTTGAAATTCTGTCTTGCTTCCCTTATGCCTTCCCTTCCATTCTAAATAGCTCTTTGTTCATTGAAAATGAGTTGGCCAACCCAAATTTCCCTTAACTTCATCAACATAGGAATAGGTCTGGAAAAAAATTTACTTATTTTTATGCCTTACCTTATTCAGAAAAATAAAATGAGGCCTACAAGAACATAGTAAAATAAGTTATATTGGGCAAAACAGAGGAAAATATAAGGAAGTCAGGAATGAGGCTAATTCAGAAAAATTATGCCATAAAAACTTTACTGCGCTTACCGGAGGTGGTTCTGGTCTAACACTAGAAAGCAAGTCTGGCTAGTTGCATACAGACCAATCCATATATACCAGTTGTTCAGAAGAAGTATTTTTATTGGGATAAGATAGGAATTTCTTAATAGGATTCTCATAACCAGTGGCATGTGATAAATGTCCAGCATTCTGGAAAAAATTGTGTATATGAATATATGTATATAAATATATTGTAAATATTACTGATAAAAAGAATGTGTGGTACACAGTTAAAAAAACAAAATACACAATATTCTTTATTGTAATTTCCATATAGTCAATTGATTCTCACAGAATACTTTCATTGATTTTTCTGAACTCGGGTCCATAGCCAACTATGTAATTCAATCGTGATTTGACAAATGAAATTGTTTCCAGTCTGCTGTTTCCCTAATAAATTTATTGTCATTAAGTATGACGTTTGACATGAACGTTGGCGATATTTTTGTTTACATTAATGAATAAGAGGAAAGCAAAGCAATATTTATGTATGTCACCTCTTTGTCAATGACATGGGCAAGTTCTCTGAGTAACAATAGTTTCTGAATTATGGAAGAATATTTTGTCACCTTTCTGTTCTGTTAACAAAGAAAAAGTTTCAGACACAACAAATTTTAAAGTTTCACCTGCATTATTAACATTTTTCTCCTTCACTTTCTTATGTCTCAACCAGAGCCAAGCAAACTGTGGCCCTTGAGCCCAATCTAGCCAGTGGCCTGATTGGAGCTAAGAGCTCAAAGAATATGAGCTAAGAATATTTTTGACCCTCTCAAAGTATTAAAACAACAACAACAATAATAGGAATTTGTAACAGAGACTCTGTGTGGTCCACAAATCCAGATGCATTTTCTACCTAGCCTCTGCAGAAAAAAAAAAAAAAAAATTGCTGGCCCTTAGGGCAACTAACAAAAGAGTAGATCAAGCCCTAATTTGTAAGATTTGCCAATTTCCAGGATGTAAATACTTCCACCATCATAGCTGATTTCAACCTATCAGTGTGACTTCAGTGAATCGGGAAGAAACGTCCAGTAGTGCCATTAGATGGCATTTCCATCAAATAGAGGCGAAGGTGTAAACAACCTCAAGAGTGTAGCAGGAATAGAGTGTATCCAGTAATATAATTGGAAAATAATGAGTTTTGAATTTGATTACCTTTGTTTTAAAATAGTTTTATGTTGGGACGCCTGGGTGGCTCAGTTGGTTAGGCAGCTGCCTTTGGCTCAGGTCATGATCCCGGCGTCCTGGGATCGAGTCCCACATCGGGCTCC